TTTCAACGTACTACTCGAATTTCTTTGGGTAGCCAAATAGGACGTAATGTTGAGGCTTATGTCGATGACTTGGTTGTAAAGACGCGCAACCAAGAGACCTTACTCTCGGATCTAGCGGAAACTTTTGAGAGTCTCCGCTCCGCCCGCATAAAACTGAACCCCGATAAGTGCGTGTTCGGTGTACCTGCGGGCAAGCTTCTCGGGTTTTTGGTCTCTGCCCGAGGCATCGAGGCCAACCCCGAGAAGATACGAGCTATAGAGCGGATGCGCCCCCCCAGCAAGCTTAGGGATGTGCAATGCGTCACCGGTTGCATGGCCGCCCTAAGTCGGTTCATATCGAGGCTGGGAGAGAAGGCGCTACCCTTATTTAAGCTCCTCAAACGCTCCGGGCCGTTTACTTGGACGGAGGAAGCTGAACGTGCCCTCACTCAGTTGAAGGCGTATCTCAGCTCTCCCCCAGTTCTGGTCGCCCCGGAGCCAAATGAACCCTTGCTACTCTAAGGCTGATATCAAACCTAAGGCTGCAACCAACTTTAAGAAGAAAGGCAAGGGAAAGGCGAAGGGAGACTGCTTTGTGTGTGGCAAGTCTGGGCATTGGGCCAAGAACTGTCCTGAGCGCAAAGACAGGAAGTCTGCTAACATGGTCATTAGCGAGGGCGGAGGAACATCTGGGTACGGTAAAATATTACCTACAGTTCTCTCTGTTTTCCACTCACCTGATTGGTGGGTGGACACTGGTGCTAATATTCATGTATGTGCTGACATTTCTCTGTTTTCTTCTTATCCGGTCGGGAGAGGTTCCTCCTTGTTGATGGGAAACGGGTCGCTTGCGACTGTTCATGGTGTTGGTACGGTCGATCTGAAGTTTACTTTGGGAAAGACCGTGCAGCTGAAGAACGTGTAGCATGTCCCTTCAATAAAGAAGAATCTTGTTAGCGGCTCTCTATTGTGTAGAGAAGGTTTTAGACTTGTGTTTGAGTCCAATAAATGTGTCGTATCTAAATATGGGACTTTTGTTGGAAAAGGTTATGACAGCGGAGGCTTGTTCCGCTTTTCTTTGAATGACATGTGTAATAATCATAATGCTGTGAACCATATTAGCGAGAATGATGAGTCTGATGTGTGGCATTCGTGACTCTGTCATGTGAATTTCGGTTGTATGACGCGCTTAGCTAACATGAGTTTAATTCCAAAATTCACTTTGGTCAAAGGTTCCAAGTGCCATACTTGTGTTCAATCGAAACAACCTCGCAAGCCACACAAGGCATCTGAGGCGAGGAATTTGGCACCTCTAGAACTTGTTCATTCCGATTTGTGCGAAATGAACGGCGTGTTGACTAAAGGGGGAAAGAAATATTTCATGACACTGATAGATGATTGCACTAGATTTTATTATGTGTATCTATTGAAAACAAAGGATGAAGCATTGCATTACTTTAAAATCTATAAAGCTGAGGTAGAAAACCAACTTGAAAGGAAAATCAAACGGTTAAGGTCTGATAGAGGTGGAGAGTATTTTTCCAATGAGTTTGCATCCTTTTGCGAAGAGTTTGGAATTATTCATGAGAGGACGCCTCCCTATTCACCCCAATCAAATGGGGTGGCCGAAAGAAAGAACCGTACTCTAACTGAGATGGTGAATGCCATGTTAGACACTGCGGGGCTTTCCAAGGAATGGTGGGGTGAGGCAGTTTTGACTGCGTGTCATGTCCTGAATAAAATTCCAATGAAGCATAAGGAAGTAACACCATTCGAGGAATGGGAAAGGAAGAAATTAAATCTCTCATACCTACGAACATGGGGCTGTTTGGCCAAGGTAAATGTACCTATAGCCAAAAAGCGGAAACTTGGACCAAATACTGTTGATTGTGTGTTCCTTGGTTATGCTATTCACAGTGTGGGTTATAGATTCTTAATAGTAAACTCTGGAGTACCCGACATGCATGTTGGTATAATTTCTGAGTCCAGAGATGCTACATTCTTTGAGAATGAATTTCCCATGAAACATACACCTAGCACTTCTAGTCAAGAAACTGTCATGCCCCATGGACACTTTGCACCAATAGAACACAATGATCAAACGCCTGAGGAAAATCCTGAGGAGGACAACATTGTAGATACTCGCAAGAGTAAGAGACAGGGTTGCAAAATCCTTTGGAGATGACTACATTGTATACCTCGTGGATGACACCCCAAGAACCATAGAAAAGGCATATTCATCTCCTGACGCTGACTACTGGAAGGAAGCAGTACGCAGTGAAATGGACTCGATTATGTCTAATGGTACTTGGGAAGTCGTTGAGCGTCCATATAGGTGCAAGCCCGTAGGATGCAAATGGGTTTTCAAGAAAAAGCTTAGGCCTGATGGTACAATTGAAAAGTACAAGGCAAGGCTTGTGGCCAAGGGTTATACCCAAAAGGAAGGCGAGGACTTCTTCGACACATACTCACCAGTTGCTCGCTAGACCACGATTCGAGTACTACTTGCTCTGGCAGCCTCTCATGGTCTTCTCGTCCATCAGATGGACGTTAAGACAGCTTTCCTAAACGGAGAGCTGGAGAAGGAGATCTATATGTATCAACCAGACGGATATGTACTAGAAGGTCAGGAGGGAATGGTGTGTAAACTGTTAAAATTCTTGTATGGCCTCAAGCAAGCACCTAAGCAATGGCATGAGAAGTTTGACACCACGCTTACATCTGCAGGCTTCGTAGTGAACGAAGCTGACAAATGTGTGTACTATCGCTATGGTGGGGGAGAAGGAGTGATCTTGTGCTTATATGTCGATGACATATTGATCTTTGGGACTAGCCTTAATGTGATTGAGGAGGTCAAGGACTATCTGTCCAAGAGTTTTGAAATGAAGGATTTGGGAGAGGCTGATGTTATTCTTAACATCAAACTACATAGAGGAGATGAGGGTGGGATTACACTTGTGCAATCCCACCATGTAGACAAGGTTTTGAGTCGCTTTGGATATAGTGACTGCAAGCCAGCTCCTACTCCCTATGATCCCAGCGTGCTATTAAGGAAAAACTAAAGAATAGCAAGGGATCAACTGAGATACTCTCAAATCATTGGTTCATTGATGTACTTGGCTAGTGCAACGAGGCCTGACATCTCATTTGCTGTAAGCAAGCTGAGCCGGTTTGTCTCAAATCCGGGAGATGATCATTAGCAGGCTCTGGAAAGAGTAATGCGCTATCTAAAGGGCACTATGAGCTATGGAATTCACTATACCGAGTGTCCAAAAGTACTAGAAGGGTATAGTGACTCAAACTGGATATCTGATGCTGATGAGATAAAAGCCACAAGTGGATATGTGTTCACACTTGGAGGTGGTGCTGTTTCCTAGAAGTCTTGCAAGCAGACCATCTTAACGAGGTCAACTATGGAAGCAGAACTTACAGCACTAGATACTGCGACAGTTGAGGCCGAGTGGCTTCGTGAACTCCTGATGGATTTGCCGGTGGTTGAAAAACCAGTGCCAGCTATCCTAATGAACTGTGATAATCAAACAGTGATTATTAAAGTGAACAGTTCAAAGGACAACATGAAGTCATCTAGGCATATCAAGAAAAGACTGAAATCTGTCAGAAAGCAGAAAAACTCCGGAGTGATAGCATTGGACTATGTCCAAACGGCTAGAAATCTGGCAGATCAGTTTACCAAGGGGCTACCACGTAATGTGATAGACAGTGCATCGAGGGAAATGGGCCTGATACCCACCTAAGGTTGCACAATAGTGGAAACCTGTCCATTGTGATCGGAGATCCCGTGAATTTGGATGGCGAAACAAACTATTGTGTGACTGAGAGAAGAGACCCTTGAAAATGGCTCATTTTTATGATGTACTTCTCTTCTTTCCTGCATGGTAGGATGGCTCATGCCTTAATGTGATCCGAGTGGCTTTTCCAAGCAGAGATGTTGACCTGCAGAACATCTCAGAAGGAACACACCTATATGAGTTCGACTACTAGTCACAGTCTATGAGGTTTGGGCGATCTCTAGATACTCATAAAAGGCCTGGAGTTTGACTTATATGCTCCAAACAGAGGGGATGCGAACGGCAGCCCAGTACCAGTCAAGGTTCTGAGTGAAACCTGATCACACAAAACTGACAATTCAAGGCATAGTCCATTGTTCAATTGTGGTCTGATGTAGCTCATTTCCTAGGTGGAAGTTCAACTTAACAGTCTCCACCTAAACCCTGGTATATCAAACAGGCACAACATTGAAAACATTTCTTATGAGCCTTGAAATTTGGTGGGGATTGTTATAATAATTGGGCTAGACCCAATATATTCTATTAAATCTCAAAGGCCCATAATAAGTGTTAAGGATAATAATACCACCTCAGGATTTAAGCGAGGAATATCTCAACCTAAATAGGGAGTTATTGGAGGCTCCCTGTTGATTGGTTGAGGTAGGAGTCGGAAAGCCACACGCGCGCGCGCCGGGCCGGGCCGAGGCCGTGGCTGGCGGGCATGCGTGCGTGCGTGCGTCACGTCGCTACTCTTTTGCAACCACTAACCCACGTTCCCACGACTGCCGTGAGTCCGATCAGAACGATTCGCTTCCTTCCTTCCCGGGTGTTAGTTCCTCCTCCTCCGCGCCTGTGCTGCTCTCCTCGCTTCTGATCGCTTGCGCGCACGAGAGATCGGAAGGAGCAGGGCCTCCGAAACCACACCTTCGCCTGAGATCTACACCGGGTAGGCGGGTGATCAGGTTTTTGGGGAGTGCTACCCACACGACTGCTCATCCTCGCCATCGCCATGTCTGCGCCTCGAGCCGGAGCTGCTGCTGGAGCTGCTGGAGGAGATGGCGCACCTGGAGCTGGAGCCGGAGGTGGTGCGCCTGGAGCCGGTGCCGCGAACAACAACACCAACGGAGGCAATTCTGCCTCACAATCCAGCGGAGGGCCATTCTCGGGTATATCCTTCTCCTGTTCCTGATATTCATGATGTCTTTAGCATGCTACTGCGTTACTGCTATGCTCTTGTTCCTGATATGCTATGCTCTTGTTCCTGATATTCATGATGCGCATGATAGTTTGCTACTGTTACATGTTCTCACTAGATCACCCTACACTGTTTATGCCATGATTATTGTCTTAACATTTTGGATTAAAATATGCCGATTTATGACCATATTTCCAACACCCGCAACACCAAATTGTCCGCTGCTATACCCACCATTTGTGCACCAAAGCCGCCACCGTGGCTGAAGTTGCTGCCGTTGTTGCCATGCGCGGCACCATATTGTCCATTGCTGGATCCACCACTGTTTGCACCAAAGCCGCTACCACGGCTGAAGTTGCTGGTAGAGTAGCCTCCATTGCTGTGACCCACGGCACCAAATTGTCCACTGCTAATTCCACCATTGTTTGCACCAAAGCTGCCACCGAGGCTGAAGTTGCTGGCCGAGTTGCCACCGTTGTTGCGACCGGTGGCACCAGATTGTCCACTGCTAAATACACTACTGTTTGCACCAAAGCTAGCATTACTGAAGTTGCTGGCAGAGTAGCCGCCATTGCTGTGACCCGCGGCACCAAATTGTCCGCTGTTATATCCACCACTGTTTTCACCAAAGCCACCACCTTGGCCAAAGTTGCTAGCAGAGTTGCCGCCGTTGCTGCCACCATCACTGGACTGACCACCATGGCTGAAGTTGGCAGAGTTGTGGAGGTTGCTGCTACCGGCGGCACCAAATCATCCACCACTAATTCCACCGTTGTTTCCACCGAAGCTGCCACCGGACTGACCACTATGGCTGAAGTTGCCAGCGCCATAGGTGTTGGTAGTATTGTAAACATCAGAGCTTCTGTAGTCACCAGCATTTCCATGGGACACACCAGAGCTACCGTAGCCACCAGCATTTCCATGAAGAACACTGGTAGCATTATAGCCTCCACTACTGCTGTATCCCCCAGCACCATAACCACCATATTCAGAAGCCCTGCCACCGTATCCACCATTGCCAGCATATCCACCACCTCTGCCATACTCACCAGTACCATATCCACCACCACTGCTATATCCACCGCCACTTCCATAACCACCAGCGCCAAATCCACCACCTCCACGTATTCCACCAGCACGGTCATTGGCGGTGCTGACCCTTACAATTCGTCCTTGAAGATCCTAAAATCAGGGGAAGTGTTTAATATTTACAACAAAAGACGAATATTATGTTTGAAAAACAATATACCCTTATAACATCAATAATCTACCTAGGAATGAAGTCTCAACAAAGCAGACTACCAAAACAAATTTGTAGTTCAATTATGATGATTTGTATCCTGTCAAATATTAAAGAAATACAAACACTCTAAATATTTAAAACATTTATCTCATAAATAGACACACTCTAATGTGCAGATGATTTACAGCTGAACTATTTTGTAGCTCTGGTAGTGTCCATGGATCATTGGAGGTGGACTCAGCAATAATGCTTTAGTGTCCAAGAGTCCTGACTCTAGCATATCAGGGTCAACTAAGCCCATTTCTTATACATCCCGCACGTAAATAGAACCGTTTTAGTACGGTATATGCTAAAAGGAAAACAATTTGATAACATGGTCAGCTGAAATCTAAACATGGCAATCATCAAAAAATTTCAAATGTAGCCAGAGAGGCTAAATGCAGTAGTATTCAGTGGGTGGGTTAGTGGTTTAGTGCCAATTAACATTTTACTTTTTGAGATTAATTAATTGCAAAACTCAATATTGCTTGGGATGGCGATAGCTTAATTGTGTTGCCTCTTCTGACCAAATAAAACAAAAAAAATGATAAGTATACATGATTTCAGCACTTGCCAAGTGCCTTGAAAAAGATAGCAGCGAAAATCAAGCTATTTGTTGAAGCTTGAGGGATGAACAAGTTATTCCTCAAGTGAATGTACGCATCTTAAAGTCTTGAATTGCTTTACAGTTGAGGTAATGCTAATGCACAGTATATATAGCAGAAAGCAAACAGACACAAAGCCATATTATCTGAAAGATCACCTTGCCATCCATGGCAGTAACGGCAGCCGCAGCTTCCTCGCTTGATGTGTAAGTTATAAATCCATACCCTTTTGACTTTCCTGTGTCCCTATCAATGATGATCCTAGCTGAATCCAATCCAAAGAAAACAGAAAGCATTAACTACTCACCCGACATGCTTTCAAGTAAATACAAGCCATAAAAATCAGTGTGTGAGTCGTATAGTAATCAGACAAGCAAACCTTCAAGAACATCGCCGTAGTGAGAAAACACATCCTTGAGGGTGGTGTCGTCTGTGGCATACGAAAGTCCTACAAAATCACATGTAGATCAAAATGACATCGGATATTTCGATCAATGGCATCAGAAACGTGCGTTCGATTATCCAAATTTGGAACATACCTCCAACGAAAAGCTTTGAGGACATGCATCTTACTGCCTGGAGCAGCGACGGGTTGGACGAGACCGAAGTCCTCCTGAGCGCATTCACAACTCTACCAGCGAAAGCCATCTCTCAACCAAGGCGGCGTTTGGTTCAAGCACTATAAACGGATATAATTATATTATGGCAAAATTTGTATAAAGAAAGAGAAGAAAGAACATTCCCACTGTCCTCCCACATGCATCAGACCGGAGGAGAGGAGGAGCAGCGAATCGAGTCGGGGAGGGAGGAAGGCTGTTCTGCTCTTCCCCTGAGCCTCGCTCGTCAGATCACGTCGATGGCGAGATGGCAAAACTGCTGGGAGGATTGGGTATTTGGGTGGGTGGGGAGGGAGACCGGAGAATCGAGAGGGAGGGGAGGGGAGACGGTAGGTGCTCACCTCGACTGGGAGGATCGGTGACCGACGGCGGCGGCAACCCACCCGGAGGATGCGGCGGCGGCGGCGCGGCGGGGACGACGAGAGAAACCCCACGCAGCCTCACCTGCTGCTCCGGATCGCTAAACCCTTTGCACGGAAAAAGGGAGAGGTGTGGACTTCTTCTTCTTTTTTCTTTTTTTTTTTACGTTGGGCTGGTATCCGCTCCCATTGTATTCGATGTTTCGATTATGGCCCAAGTAAAGCAAACATTTCTGATATTATTCTTTTTTTTTCTTTCCTTCACACAGGGGAAGAGGATACTCGTTTCCGAGAAAATAAAATAGATTTACTTCACCCATTTTAAATCTTTTAAAAAAAACTCTGTTGAATTGTATTTTTATTGATAAATTAGAATTGTCGGGCCAGTGTATGGACCTTTGAAGTAAAAAGAAAGATATAGTAAGAATTGACATCCTAGGGCATGATTTGATGAATTTTGTTTATTTAGGGTGCAACATCAACGAGAGACTAAATAATATTGAAAAAAAATTATATGCCCCAATAATTTTAGAGTATATATGATTCAAGAAAGCGTCAACTAGTGCCTAACCCTATTTAGCGCCAACGACCGTTTGAGATAGAGCAAAATGAAGGGGGCCTTAAGGAATGTGAGATGGTAAGAAGGCGAGAGCAGAGAGAGGAGGAAGAAAGCGAGGGAGAGAGAGAGAGAGAAAAAAAAGTAGGGCACCAAGCCAGATCTTTTCGTTGGCGTGCACTGTGCATAACCACCATAGCATGTCGTCTATTGCTAGGAGAATGAGAAAGGCAAAGGTGAACTGTGAACAGGAAAGAAACAAAACTCTAGTATAATCCTTGTTATTGGCTTTCATGGGCCAATAGAGTTGATATATTACCGTTAAATCGGAGTCGTATGATTCCCATTTCCTTTCCAACCCTAATCATTCCATCCTCTTGATTTTTCCTCTCTTTTCTCGCCTCCTCATGATCTCTTCCTTCCCGATGAAACGCCTACTCATTTTGTTGCCTACTACACGCCCACATGGTCTTAGTGCCTGCCGAGACAAATCTCCCGCCTTAACTTGCCGACTAGGGGTAAGTCGTGACGGCTACTATTCGCCTAACACTAAGTTGATGTCTATAGTTGATTTTTAGAACACTAGAAATATATCATCCCATTCATCTAATTTAAAATATGACCATTCCATCCATGCTTGTACACTAGCCTCGAGATGGCACATAGAGATAGGCAAAAAAAGTAAAAAGAGAGAATGAGTCACCCCACATGAAAAAGACATCATATTCACAAATATAAGGAAGGGAAAAAAAGAGAAGGGTAGCAATGGATTAGATGAAAGTGAATAAAATAAAAACTTATATTGTATTAAAGCTAATGTATTAGAGACAATGTATTATATATGCTACTCTGTAACTCTAGTTGATAATGAGAATACAATTAGAGATACCAGTCATTCTGTTATAAAATTTGCTCTCATCCAAACACAATAACACTATATGCTACTAAAGGCCTGTTTAGTTCACGAAAAGAAAATTTTTAGATGTCACATCGGATGTTTGACCAGATATCGGAACTCGGAAGGGATTTTCCTACACGAATAAAAAAGCAAATTTCATAACTCACCTAGAAACCGTGAGACGAATCTTTTGAGCCTAATTATTAGTACATGTGGGTTACTGTAGCACTTATGGCTAATCATGGACTACTTAGGCTCAAAAGATTCGTTTCGTGATTTTTTCCCTAACTGTGCAATTAGTTTTTTCTTTTAATCTATATTTAATGTTTCATGCATGTGTCTAAAGATTCGATGTGATGTTTTTGGAAAAAACTTTTTGGGAACTAAACAAGGCCTAAGATATTTATGGGCATAGTACGCACTCTCCCTGTCTAAAAAAAATCTAATTCTAATGATAAATATGGATATACGATTAATCTTTTTAATGCGATAGAGGAAGTATGAAAAAAAATTGTCTAAAAAAAATCTAATTCTAGTGATAAATATGGATATACATTAATCTTTTAAATGAGATAGAGGAAGTATGAAAAAAAAGTGTTTAACGATAAAAAACTGTACTACTCCTGTATTGAAAACCTGCTATAGTACTCCATATTGAATTGGGAGTACCTATACATCTTTCGAAAGATTTTTACGATCGTATCACACAGATTTTTAATCTTTGGATTAAAATCTGATAGATATAATAAAAAGCAAAAAGCAATTAAGAAACACCATAATGGACACTAAATTACCATATCCTCGATAAAAAGACCAAATCCAATACAAAATTTAAAATTTACATGCGAAGATTCAAAAATTACAGTGCAACTTACAAAAGTTACAGTGTAAGTTTTATAAATTACACTGTAACTTATAAGAAAATGCACTGTAAATTTAAGTGAGAAAATCGAGTGAGAGATAAGAAAAAATCTTTCGAGTGAGATATAGCAAAATCGTATTGAATTTTATCGGGCGTACCCGCAATCGGGGCGACCGCCGCGCTGTGTTGTTTTCTCGATGGCAATTAAGGAAGTCACTGTTCCTGATATGCTTGGGCAACAGGAACTTATTGATATGCTCGTAGAGTAAAGAAGAAAAAAAAAAAGACGACCACTTTCTCTTTTCTTTTCCTCCCGTTCGTGGCTGCTGCTCACCACCACTTTGCCTTTGCGCCGTCTCTCTTCTTTACTCCAAACTTCCAAAGCCCGCCAAGCAAGCAAGCAATCGACCGATCGTGCATGCCAAAGCCAGGGCCGGTCCTATGATTTTAAGTGCCTTAGATAAATTTATCGTGATGGGTCTTCTAAGTTATATATAAAATTTTATGATATATATAAACGCTAATTTTACTTGTAAAAATATCATATATTAAATTTAACATGTCTGATAATTATCAAGAAATAAAGCCGACCAAAATAATAATATATTTGTAACTTATAACTAATATCATTATTTATTAACTTAATGAAGATTAGAAATCCATCATATCAATTCCTTCCCATGAAAAGATACTTTTTCGGACATTTCTTGATGCAAAATAATGCAGAACGGTATTAAGATCAATAGTGTCCAAGATATCATTCTCGATGGAGCACATAGCCAAGCCATTTAACCTTTCTTGCGACATAGTTGATCTCAAATAATTCTTCAACAACTTCAATTTTGAGAAGCTTCTTTCACCTGAAACTACCGTCACATGTACGGTTAAGAGAATTTGATAGGCAACTGAAACATGTGGATAGAAATCTGCATCCATAACAAACTTCAGAATCTCAGGCGCGTACATCGAAGAATCTGGCAAACTCACTTGTAACACCTTTAATTCCGAATAAAATTCATTGATCTTAACATCGGATAAAATACTATACTACTAGTATTAGGTATTGGCCCCCCACCATCATGGGCCCCCGGCGGTCGCCTCGGCTGTATAGGGCCAGGGCCGGCCCTGGCCAAAGCTTAGCAAGTACTCCGTCCTTCACTAAATATTTAATATCGTCGATTTTTTTAAATATATTTAATTGTTTGTCTTAATCAAAAAATTTAAGTAATTATTAATTCTTTTTCTATCATTTGATTTATCGTTAAATATACTACTACTTATTTTTTAATAATATTTAAAAAAATTTTAAATAAAATAAATGGTTAAACATGTTTAAAAAAATTAAGAATATTTAGAGAATGAGAGAGTATCAGTATGCAACGCCAGGCCGTCTTATCGTTTCTCTCCACAAACAACGACAAAACAGGTCACCTAACTCCCCCCCAAAAAGTTACGTGCTCCACAAAAACAAAACGCGACCCATCCAGCACGCCCGCCGCGCGCGACACCACCGCACGAGAGCTACTAGTACTGCTACACCACCGCGTCTCGTGTCGTCTCGTCTCACTCCACGACGCGCGCCGCACCGAGATCTCGGCTCCCAGCACGTGTGGCCTAACACCAACACGCAACAACGGCAACAACAACACACTACTACGCCTCGCGCTCGCGCTCGCGCCTGCGTCGTCTCGGCAGCGAGGCGAGACGAGAGAGAGCCCAGCGTGCATGCTGCCCTGCCCAACCAGCCAACCTTCGCACGCGCCGCCGCCGCTCTCGCTATCCGCATCCTTCCACGCGTACGCCACCAATCCACCCATCGCTTCTCGCTTCTCCGACCGTTTGACCGCCCCAAACTCCCCCCCGCTGGCCACGCACACGTACTCCGTACGTACGAGGGAGCGGGGCCTGGGGCGAGGCGAGCCGCGGGATTGGGGAGCGGACGGTGGGGATGGCGGGTGCGGGGGGCGCGGGTGTACGTGTTTGTGGGGTTTTTTTTACGAGTTTTTGTGGGCGGGCGGGGCCGCGAAAGGGGACAGTGGAAAGAAAGAGAGAGAGAGAAAGCGGTGGCCGTGGAGGGGAAAGCGAAGGCGTGTGGGGGGTTTGGGTTGGGTTGGGTTGGGTTGGGGGGGGGGGGGGAGGGGGGCCTTTTCGCGTTTCACACCCGCCTTTCTCGCGGGATTTGCACGCGGAGGGGTGGCGGCCGGCGCCCGGGGGGGGGGGGGGGGGGAGGGGGGGCGGTTTGCGGCTGGGTGCGTCGCGTTCGCCGTATTTGCGAAATCAGTCCAAACCAGTCCGGGAGCGTGTGGTTTTTTCCGCTGTTTGGTGGGATTTTGAGTCGTCCGAGCACGTTGGGACCTGGGAAGGAAGCTGTGATGAAAATAGTCACATTTAACTATTTGCTACTTTTAAGATGTGGTAATTAAAAACCACTCGCGATCTATAACATATATGGGTTAAGGGATAAATTTTAATTGCCACTCATAAGAGTAGCAAATAGTTAAATATATCGTCGTTTTCGGTGTTTAGGCATTAGTATATTTCTATTGCCTTTTTCCAACAAACACAAGTAATTACGGATAGACTCGTCTATAGGAGTTATGGTGATATACTTGTAATATTATTGGTTACAACTACTTCCTCAGTCCCTAAGTTTATTTTTAGAGTAATCATTGCATTGGATTTTGTGAAAGTAGGAGATAATTGTATTGGTAATAGACAACGTGACAAATAATTGTATTGAGATTTGATAAAGTATGGATATTATAGTCCTTTGTTTTCTATTGATATGTGTGTGATGGTTGAAAATTTTACTTATTTTAAGACCAATGTAGTAGATACCATATCGTGTCACTCTCAAGTGATATGATAATCCTTTTCAAGGAAATTTCCGCGCTCTCATCCCCATTTTGAGTCGTTTCTACAAGCTCCTCTGTTCGTCCTCTAGGTAACTAATATAGGGTGACAAACATGGTTTCATTGCTACCTCATTATTAGTTTTTTTTCACAATAATTGTTATCTTTGGTATTTTAGTAAGTATTTTTTAGCTATATATGGTCAAAACTTACTCCTACTCCAATCTAACTCTTCATTTATATGGCACAAATTTGACAGTAAATGAAAAAGGTCACTCACAGTAATAACATCTGTAAAATGCATCCTCTCATTAAGAAATCACTATATTTGCCAAATGAAAATTATATCACTCGTGTGCATGGCTTTTTGGAGGGAAAGTAGGTTTTTTCTTCAATAACCGGAGGGAAAGTAGATGATTCGAATTTCAGACCTTTTTTCTTGAAGTCTTGTGCTTTGGATTTTTTAAAATAAATACTATTACCATAGAAAATTCCATAAATATTGTTTGTTGCACCAAAATGTTACTTAGTAGGTTGTCTGCAGTGGAGGTATGATAGGGATCCATTCGGCATTGAAGCGTACAATAAGTAGAGGCAGAGCGAAAATCACTATTTTTCTTTTGTCGCGGGGCTAACAATACTAATCTTTTACATTTTTACAAAAGCTACATTAAACATAGTGCAATTTTACCAAGTTTGAGGGAGGCCAGGCCTCCTGTCACCTCTCTGTGGCTCCTCCGTCTCTAATAAGGCCGGGCATGTTTGCTACTTACTATTAATCATGTCGATCTTGTTTCCTACCACAAATGGTATACTTATTGATTGGTCCAGTTAAGTACAATTAAATATGCGGGCCAAATCAATCCAGCCCTTGAATGGTAAGACTCCTATCGTTTTATCATATATCTATAGACTTTGGTAAGAATACGTGGCTCCACGCTGGAAAGTGCCAAGGGGCCCATCATAACATGTGGTTCGGGCAATGCACATCGTGTGAGCATTACATTCCTTTTAGCCAAATGTTATTTGTGTTGTTTCTACTATAATACATTGCTCACCCATCTTCTCCAATTTTGGCAAGACATTGGACAATGGATGAAATGTTGATGCTACATTACAAAGTTCATCAATAACCCATCACCATTAGAAGGCCAATAGAGGTGGCAGTGATAAATATTATAGATAAATACGTCGAGACATTGGAGCGCAATGTGCAACACAAGCGATGTGTAATTTTTATGGGTCATAGATGAGTAATCCTTATGAACTAGATTTTCATACTGTAAAGACGAGGTTTAATCTACTTTACGTAAGGACATGCAAAAGATATTAAAAGAAAGCGAATACTAGAATGCCAAATAAGAAAAAAAATCTACTCCCTTCGTCTCGAAACGACTCACCATTTTCTATCAAAACAAGATAACCAAAGGTGGTGTTTGAATGTCCTGAAGATGAAGATGAAGATTAAGTGTTTCACGTAAAACGAGGTTATAATAACGTGTAATTAATTGAGTTTTAATTATTCCAAACTTGAAAAATAGACTAATCTAATATTTTGGAACAACTTTCATATAGAAAGTTTTCGCACGAAACACACCGTTTAGCAGTTTGAAAAGCGTGTCACGAGTATTCAAAATTTAATCCAACTTTTATTGGAGAAAAGAATAGGGCCTTTGTATAACGAAACGAAGATGTTTTTCAGAAAGCCCCCACATTGCCAATCTAACGAACGGCGAAGCCAAAAAAAAAAAAAATCCCATCACCCATCGCGCCGCCGTGCAATTTGACACTAACCGGAGCCCTTCCCTGCCAAACCACACTCCCCACACTGTGCCCCAACCCCAACTCCGCTAGCTCACCTCCCACATCACATGCCCACCCAAAGCTTCCAAACCAAGCTACCACCACGCCGCCGCCGCCGCCACCACCACCACCACGCGAGGGTTCAAACCGCAAAACTCCTCCCTCCCCGAGGTCCCCGCCGCAAAAGCCCACCCTAACCCCCACCCTCGCCGCCGGCCACCGCCGCCGCGGACCTAGCTAGCTCCCACCACCCACTGCCCCCACCCCAATGCGACGGCGGCCCCCGCCGCCGCCGCCTCCTCTCCTCCCCATGGCCACCCTCAACACCCAAACCCTAATCACTCTCTTCCTCCTCCTGCTGCTCGCTGCTGCTGCCGCCGCGGCCGACGCCGGTGGTGGTGGTGAGAGGGAGGCGCTGCTGAGGTTCAAGGCGGGGGTGGCCTCCGACCCGGGGGGGTTGCTCCGGGGGTGGACGACGGCGGCGTCGCCCGACCACTGCGCCTGGCCCGGGGTGTCGTGCGGCGGCAACGGCGAGGTCGTGGCGCTCAACGTCTCGTCCTCCCCGGGCCGCCGCCTCGCGGGGGCGCTGTCCCCGGCGGTGGCGGCGCTGCGGGGGCTCCGCGTGCTGGCGCTCCCTTCCCACGCGCTCTCCGGCCAGCTCCCCGCCGCGATCTGGTCGCTCCGCCGCCTCCTCGTGCTCGACCTCTCCGGAAACCGCCTCCAGGGGGAGATCCCGCCCGCGCTGGCCTGCGCGGGGCTCCAGACGCTGGACCTCTCCTACAATCAGCTCAACGGCTCCGTGCCCGCCTCGCTCGGCGCGCTCCCGGGGCTGCGCCGCCTGTCTCTGGCCTCCAACCGCCTCGGCGGCGCCATCCCCGACGAGCTCGGCGGCGCTGGGTGCCGCAGCCTGCAGTACCTTGACCTCTCCGGCAACCTGCTCGTCGGTGGCATCCCGCGGAGCTTGGGGAACTGCAGTAAGCTGGAGGCGCTTTTGCTGTCCTCCAACCTGTTGGATGACGTCATCCCGCCGGAGATTGGCCGGCTAAGGAATTTGCGGGCGTTGGATGTGTCGAGGAACAGTTTGAGCGGGTCTGTGCCAGCTGAGCTTGGTGGTTGCGTTGAGCTGTCAGTACTCGTGCTGTCCAATCCGTATACGCCGATTGGTGGGTCGAATTCGTCGGATTACGGGGATGTCGATGATTTTAACTACTTCCAAGGAGGAATACCAGATGCTGTTGTCGCGTTGCCAAAGCTGAGGGTGCTGTGGGCGCCGAGGGCTACACTGGAGGGGGAGTTGCCACGTAATTGGAGCGCTTGCCAGAGCTTGGAGATGATCAATTTGGGGGAGAATTTGTTCTCCGGCGGTATTCCTAATGGGCTGGTGGAATGCAGCCATCTAAAGTTCTTGAATCTGAGCTCAAACAAGTTGACAGGTGCCATTGATCCATCACTCACAGTGCCTTGCATGGATGTATTTGATGTCAGTGGAAACCGGTTCTCTGGCGCAATGCCAGTGTTCGAGCAAAAGGGATGCCCTTCATCTCAGCTCCCATTTGACGACTTGGTGTCAGAGTATTCTTCCTTTTTTTCATATCAGGCGCTTGCTGGATTTCGTTCGTCCTCATTTGTCTTGGGCACGGATTTGACTAGTTACCACAGTTTTGCCCAGAACAATTTTACTGGACCAGTGAAATCGTTGCCGCTTGCTGCGGATAAACTGGGGATGCAAGGGTCCTATGCTTTTCTGGCTGATGGGAACAATATTGCTGGACAGTTGCAACCTGACCTATTCAGCAAGTGCAACAGCTCAAGGGGTTTCATTGTGGACGTCAGCAACAACTTGATAACTGGCGGGATTCCAGTCGAGATTGGCTCATTGTGCAGCTCTCTAGTCGTTCTTGGTGTTGCTGGTAATCAGCTCTCTGGTTTGATACCAACAAGTATCGGGCAATTGAATTATCTTATCAGCTTGGATTTGAGTAGGAACCATCTTGGTGGTGAAATTCCTACTTCCGTGAAGAACCTGCCAAACTTAGAGCGCCTCTCTTTGGGCCATAACTTTCTCAATGGTACCATTCCAACCGAGATTAATCAGCTGTACTCTCTGAAGGTTCTGGACCTGTCCTCAAACCTCCTCACAGGAGAGATCCCTGGTGCCCTTGCTGATTTGAGAAATCTCACTGCCCTACTCCTTGACAACAATAAACTTACTGGGAAGATACCTTCTGCATTCGCTAAATCAATGTCACTTACCATGTTCAACTTGTCATTTAACAATTTGTCTGGTCCAGTGCCAGCAAATAGCAACACAGTTCGGTGTGATAGCGTTATTGGGAATCCTTTATTACAATCATGTCATATGTATACCCTGGCTGTCCCATCAGCTGCACAGCAGGGCCGTGGTTTGAACTCCAATGACTATAATGATACATCATCTGCGGATTCACAGAATCAAGGAGGAAGCAATTCATTCAATGCAATTGAAATAGCTTCGATAACTTCTGCAACGGCCATTGTTTCTGTCCTTCTTGCTCTGATTGTGCTCTTTATTTACACAAGGAAGTGTGCTCCCCGAATGTCAAGTCGCTCATCTCGAAGAAGAGAAGTTATAACTTTCCAAGACATCGGAGTGCCAATCACTTATGAGACTGTTGTTCGAGCAACTGGGAGTTTCAATGCGAGCAATTGCATTGGAAGTGGGGGCTTTGGAGCCACTTATAAAGCTGAAATTTCACCTGGAGTGTTGGTAGCTATAAAGAGGCTCTCTGTTGGGAGATTCCAAGGTGTTCAACAGTTTCATGCTGAGATTAAAACTCTGGGGAGATTAAGGCATCCAAATCTGGTTACCTTAGTAGGATACCATCTTGGTGAGTCTGAAATGTTTCTCATATATAACTACTTGCCTGGAGGAAATCTTGAGAGGTTTATTCAGGAGAGATCAAAGAGACCTGTTGACTGGAAGATGCTCCACAAGATTGCTTTGGACATTGCAAAAGCACTTGCTTATCTGCATGATACTTGTGTTCCTCGTATCCTTCACCGTGATGTGAAACCAAGCAACATTTTGTTGGACACCGAGTATAATGCTTATCTCTCAGACTTCGGACTGGCAAGGCTCTTGGGAAATTCAGAAACCCATGCAACCACTGGTGTAGCTGGGACTTTTGGATATGTTGCTCCAGAATATGCTATGACATGCCGTGTTTCAGATAAAGCCGATGTGTATAGCTATGGTGTTGTACTGATGGAGTTAATATCAGACAAGAAAGCCTTGGATCCGTCATTTTCTCCTTATGGTAATGGGTTTAACATAGTTGCTTGGGCTTGCATGCTTCTTCGTCAAGGCCGCGCTCGTGAATTCTTTATTGATGGCCTGTGGGATGTGGGTCCGCATGATGACTTAGTAGAGACATTGCATTTAGCAGTGATGTGCACTGTTGATTCACTCTCTGTACGACCAACTATGAAGCAGGTCGTTCAACGGCTAAAGCAACTTCAGCCACCAATCCGAGAACACCGATGATTACACATTCAACTTGTAGAAGGTAAAGATAGCCGTAACTTGTGGCCCTTGGTGATTTTTTTTCCTAATCATCTGTTTGACTAGATTTATCTTGTAGATGCCAGCTCTGTATAATACAGTTTTCACTGAATTGCTCACTAATGTATCTGCAGATAAGAAGAGCAGATGTAAATTAACAACCTTAATTTCAAATATTTCATTTAGGTTTGCCTGACTTGTGCTTCTTTGTTACTTCCCTTTAAAAGAACGAACATCTAGTTCATTTAAGTTTGCCTGATTTGTTCTCCTGTTATTTACCTTTGGGATAGTATACAGTATGTGGTAATCTCAAACGTGATGCAATATCAATACATGGCAAGCATGTGTCATGATTCCCTGCAGCGCTTGTCATATATCTACTTGTATATTCCCATCATTTGCATTGTTGTTTTCTGCTGAGCTTGTATGCAGAGTTAAAATTTTCATGCCAGCGATTAATTGGTCGAGCGCATAGATAGACATGCATGTCTCTAAACACTGACCAGCATATATGATCCAGTCATTCTTCGGTCTTACTTTCTTTTTGCGTGAGAGAGATATCCAGATCAGAGTCGTGCCTTAGTTATCTTCATTATCTCAAAGATTGTACCATTTTTGTTCGTTTCTGGTATTACCATATTTTTGCTGTTGCTAATTTGTACTAGTACCTTCTCTGGCAAGAAAGGTAATGGTTTTTCAGCATGAAGCTGACATATTTAACTTTCGGGCCTTATTTGGGGAATTCTCTTTCTGTAAACACACATCTCATGGAAAGGATTGAAAAATGTGCAAGAATATTACCTTGCATAATTTTAGCTTCAGCAAGTGAAAAATGAAACACAGCAGATCATGATACCATCAGTTCATCAGAGACAGGACCATGTGCGGCTTCTGAATTTTCCATTTTCCAGGGGTTCTCATCCACTTGTGAGTTTCAGTTGTTCTTTTTCTGTCTGTATTTGGCACTCGTGCTTTCACTTTCCAGTTCACGATCGCCTGGATTCCTGATAGTCTTGCCCGCTCACGTATGTATATTCATGTGTTTGGAAGTGAGTTGGCAGGCACCAGCGCAAAAAGGCTAAGGATAACCATGTTCTTCCTGCTTTCAATCGCCTCAACCATAACTAATTCTATCCGGAATCAATGGATCGTGAGCTGAATTTTGTTGCTGGAACAAGTAAAAATTATACTGTGCTACTCAGTGATTGGTCGTGAATCTGAAAAAAAATTGAGTTAACCTGTTAATTCTACCCCTCATCTTAGTGACTGCAGCAAAATAGTTCAGGAATCCAGTGCCAATGTAAAATCATAAACATCTTTCTTTCTAATGTTGTTGTAAAATCATAAACATCTTTAGGGATCATCTTAGTGACAGGTTTTTCAGTTGCTGCAACTATCCTGGTTATGGCTAGGCAAGATCTGAACCAAGCATATGTATAGGGCGGCACAGTAGCATCAACCAAACATTGCTCCAGCTCCAGCAAAAAAAAAAAAAGACATAGTATCAAGTAAAAGATCATACCATGCATGAAGATGTAAAAATTAAAATAGAATTGTCATCATGAACATTATGAGATCCACGATGGTTTAGTAACGATCCACGATTTGTTTTTTTGTTTGATATTGCGCTGATATTACTTTTAGTTAGTGATAAGTAATTTTTGTAAATTTGCCAATGACTGTAGAACCAGTTGAGATCTTAGTAATATGAACCAAATTAGCATGAAGTGAACAAAAAAAGAAAAAGAAAAGAAAAGGCAATCTTTGACTACTATGCTGTCTATGCAACTGGATTATGTGTTCTGCTGCCGAATCGAGTGGTTCTTGTTTGTATCATGCCAATTTCTTCATGTAGGCATGTCGCTGAAGGTGATGTACTATCAACTGCCCAACCTAAGGCACAGAAGTACTGCAGTACAAAAGTATTTCCAACACGTGGATACTTCGATAGTATAGAAAATACAGCACGGCAATATATCAAAGAAAAATGTCACCACACATTTCTCGAAAGTCCTTTTGTGTCAAAAAGGCTATTGCGCGTGCTATTTTGTTGGCGTTGTTTTTTTTTTTTGGCCAATTATGTTTTTTTTTCCTTTTTGGCAATATTGCTTGTGGGGCTTGTTTGACGTTTTTAATGGGCTGAACACATTAAGTTTATCTTTTTGGGCTCGGCCCTTTTCCTTTTGGGTTGAATGCATGGCCCACAATCAAGTTTTTTCTTTTTATTTAATTTGAATATTTTTATGTATAAAGTTTCTATATCAAATGTTTTTATGTATAAAGTTTCTATGCCGAATATTTATATGGATAAAATTTTTATGCCGAAGACTTTATGTAAATGTTTCTCTACATAGAAAGTTTTTATATACAAAAGTTTAATATAAATTTTCTATGTATAAAGTTGTTATTTATAAAATTTTCCTATATAGAATTTATTCTAGTCTAACTTGAATTGAAAATGAGTGAGCTTTTTTATTCACACGTGGTTAAAAGAAATAAACATTTGCTAAAAGGGAAGTGGGCTTAATTTATCCTCGCCAATGTTGCTTGCTCGTTGTGTATTTATACGTTTCTTTATCTCTTGTTTTTTTTTCCTTGATATGTTGATTTGCGTTGGTGTTTTTTTAAGGATTCAAGTAAAGACAATTAGATTGTAAGTATTAAAAGTTATAACATAAGTTCTAAAAATTATAATATAATTATAGTGAAACTATATAAGTTACCATCAAAAATTAAATTAAACGTACTTACATATGGCGTCATAAATGTAGTCCTTATGCGGACTAATAAAAATAAATAAAATTCGGTGCGCTTTGCATGTATAAACCACAAATATAATAAGCCCATGTTTCCATGGGTGTGAGACTGAGCACAAAAGGCTAGGATAAACCCCCACCCCCACATTCTTCCTGCTTTGAATCGTCTCAACTATATCTAATTCTATCCGGAATCAATGGATCGTGAACTGAATTTTGTTGCTCTATTGGATGTGAAAACATTTGAGTTACCCTCTTCTTTCTACCCCCTCATATCTTAGTGATAGCCAATTGGCCATTAATTTGCACACAAATTCTCGTAAGCTGCAGCAAAATTATTCCAGCAATGGGACCATATAGCGGCAATGCAAAATCGTAAACATCTTTGTTTCTAATAAAGTTGTAAAAATCATACTTAAACGATAACCTAAATAGGGAACATCTAAAAATTGTATTGGCGCATAGGGAACATCTGAAAATTGTATTAAAAATCATACTTAAACGATAACCTAAATAGGGAACATCTGAAAATTGTATTGGCGCATAGGGAACATCTGAAAATTGTATTGGCGCATAAAAGCTTGGGGCGATTTGGCGAAGAAAAAACTAGCCGGACAAATAACATAATCAAAACATATGCTATCCCAACGTCATATAAAAAGGAACGGAGGTATTATATGTTAAAATAAGAACATTATGCATAAAAAGAGTTTCATTCTCGTAGAGTGGATAATTCTATTTATTCCAATTATTCTTCTAAAAAAAGCAAAAGAAAATTCAAAATCCTTTTTTATTCATACTTTCTCAAACACAAAATACACTCTCAAAATGGTCAAATGAGTGAAAAGAAATTTGACTTTCATATACTAATTAATATCTTAACAGAATTCCACATAATAATGAACTAATGATCAATGCATTTTATATCATCGTCGCCATGCCTAGAATAATCCTAGCAAAGAGAAGATCGATCAATCAGCCCTTCCTCCCGGCGGTGGTCCACTCCTGGTAGCGGCGGAGGCTCGCCGGAAAGTCGGTGAAGAGGTCACCGACGTCGTTGATCCAGTAGTCGTACTCGGCGTACGGATCCTGCCGGAAGTTGAAGTGCAGGAACTGGTTCTCGTTCCGGTACGTGTAGGGGTGCACCTGCAGATAGGGATGCAAACGGACCGACCCGTGAGTTCACTTATAAATCAAATAAATGATAGTTTATGAGTTTTCGTGTCATGGCCCGACTTATTTATAGGTTAAATTAATAGTTAACCCGTAAGTCAAACCCGTCGGTTACACACTAATTTTGTCTATAAGAGGTTCGCGGATAAGCCCACTTGCAGCCCTACCTGCAAGCCCCTGGCGTGCGCCCTTGCGACGAGGTCCGTCGGCGCCGCCAGCTTGTTGTCCGTCGTCGGCGGCACCACCGTATCCTTCCACGGCCCGACGCCGACGACGTACTCCCTCATGTAGTCGAGGTGTTCGTCCGAGGTCACCTCGTCGTAGGACTGGCTCGTGTCCTCGGTGCGCACCGTGGTGTCGTCGACGAGGAGCACCATGGGGGAGTCGGTGAGGCCGGCGGCGTAGACGAGCGACGTCGGGGCGAACGACTGGATGAACACCGGCCGCGCCGCCCACGCCGGCGACATGTACCGGCCGCCGTAGCCGCGACGCTTGAGCGCCGCCACGAACTTGTCCTCGAACTTCTTGCCGTCGCGCCACCGCACCTGCCGGTTGACGAACACCGGGTTCTTGATCTCCGGGTAGATGCCCACCACCCTCGACGCCGCGCCAGCCGCGGTGTCGATGAACTCGTCGAACGTGATGATCCGCGACGACTCGCCGCCGTTGTAGGACCTGTCCCGGAACGCGTACCTCTGCTTGGATCTCAGCGTCTTGAGCTCGGCCAGGGTGAAATCGGCTGCAGAACATTCGACAACGATGAGACATTCGATGATGGCGGCGGCGGCGGCGAGGCGAGAGAGATCGTCAATGGCGTGGCGGGCGGCTTACTGATGAAGAAGCCGGTGACGTTGGTCCACTGGACCTCGAGGGTGCGACGGCGGGAGGCGAACTCGGGGTGGTCGGCGACGTCGGTGGTGGCGTCGAGGGTGGTGTCGTGGAAGCAGACGAGGTGGCCGTCCTTGGTCGCCGTCACGTCGGCCTCGATGAAGTCGGCGCCCTCGTCGATGGCGCGCATGTACGCCGCCGCCGTCTCCTCGGGGAGCTCGCCGTTCGACCCCCGGTGCGCGATGTTGAACGGCCGCGACGTCTGCAGCGGCGCCTTCGGCGTCCCCCCCGCTCCTCCTCCACCGACCAACGGCCGCGCCGCCGCTCGCCGCGCACCAGACAAGCACCACCATCGCCACCCCTGCACGCAACGCAACACACGTTAGGACAGCGAACGCACGTCGCCGGAGAACGTTCGAGGGTTGCACGTACACGGAGAGGCCATCGATCTCGTCGTCGTCGTCGTCGCCGCCGGCGAGGTATGGATCGATCGATCGATCGACGCTGATGGAGTGATGCTATATATAAGGAGTACGGAGCGGTGTTGCGGGGAATATTCCAATAGAAAGTAGGTTTAGACTAGCAAAATCGATAGACTACTGATGACGACGACTACGGAATCCACGAGTACATGTGTGTTGGGCCTCGGATTATTTAGCCCATTGGGCTCGAACAAAGCCAGTTTGAACGAGCCCATGAGCCCATTTGTTAGGAATGTTTCACGCATTTATTTTGGCCCAAGCTCACTGTTCAACAGTTTCCGTCAAATTCCACGACCGATCCGTGACATATGAAACACATAGCCCGTCGTTTTACATATCAACGACTCTTGTTGAGTGGTAGTCTGCGGACGTCGTCTAAGGCAGACAATTAAGTATCGAGATTAAAGTTTTAAATGCGGGCTGACAACGATAAAAGCTACTACTCTCTCTGTCTCTAAATATAAAAAACTTTGATGGGATGTGACACATTATAGAATTCAGATTCGTTGTACATCTAAAGACAGAGAAAATACATGTGTAGTACAGTGGCGTAGCTAGTTCCTGGATTGGTTGGATAGCCGTGTCACTATCAATTACTCAGATTGCTTCTTAAATATTGTGCGAATGACTAACAAATATTCATTGGCGTCTAAGACTCAACGGCATTGCTGGTTCCATCACTTATGGCAACGCCATAACATTCGGCACAGGAAAACACACACTCGCATTTGTACATGCGATGATGCGTGCTTAAATGCAAGATTATATGTATTTGAGCGAACATTCTTTACATATACTTTTATCATCATATGCAGCGAGATAAATAGGCATTTCGTTTTGAAACTGAAATATGCCATATTTCCTCCGTCTCAAGATGTAACTACTTTTAGCTACTTTTAGCACAGTAGCTTGTCCCGAAAATGAAGCTATTTTTCCACCTATCCTCTCCTCTCGACTAATCACAACCATTCTCCATTTAATTACCTCACCCACTTACTATTTTCAACCACTCACAAAATTTCTCCAGTTATTTCTACCAACTTTATTAATATTTGTGTCTACCTAAAAAAATGACTACTCCATCCGTCCCATAAAAAATCAATATAATACTAGATATGACACATTCTAATACTACGAATCTAGACATACCCCTGTCCAGATTTATTGTACTCTAATATTTCACATTCAGTTCTAGATTTACTTTTTTTTACGGAGGAAGTACATTTTTAAGATAGATGTATTATTACCTCCGTCCCAAAATAAGGGCAGCCGTGGATATCCGTGCCCAACGTTTGACCGTCCGTCTTATTTGCAAAATTTGTGAAAAATTTAAAAATATTTAGTCACACATAAAGTACTATTTATGTTTTAACATCTAATAGCAATAAACGTACTAATCATAAAAAAATTTCAAATAAGACGAACGGTCAAACGTTGAACGTAAATAGTGCAAAACTGCACTTATTTTGGGACGGAGTGAGTACTAATCTATTGGCACTTTAAATACCACCGTGCAGTGCCAATGTATGAGTTGCTACTAAAATGTGCTGATAACGCATAAACTGTTAAAAGAGACATATATTATAATACAAATTCGATGCAAAAGATCGCAAAGAGAATGGTTCCACGTGGCAACACCGGTTTCGCGGAAGAGACTTGACGAAAAGATCTTGCGCGTGCGCGTGCAAAGATCTAGAAATGCTCTTGCGTGCGTGCGTGCACTGGCCACCAGATGGAGTTTCTTCCAGAAGCTTCTTCACGAATGTATCAATGGAGCAATTGGGTCCATGGAACATGGTTTAGCAGGCCGTGCAATGGCACAAGAAGATGCTGGATGAAACGAGATATTAACCATACATGTAGGCTGTAGCATGCAAACATCCGGTGCATGATGGTCGATGCATGAATTGGCACATTCAGTAGTCCGTACTCCCTACTTTGTACGCACAGCTTCGATTAATTTTTACTTTCCTTGTATTTAAGCTCTTCAATATCCCGTCTAGATTCACTAATGTTCATATAAATTTACACATGTATTTGAAACACATATATTGATCCATGTATAAATTTAACCCACAACGTACGTCTTATAGTATGAAACATAAATTTATTCAAAACCTCAAACATTTTATACACATACATTGATCCATATATGAATTTATTCAAAATCCAAACATTTTATAATGTGAAATATAAATTTATTTAAAACCCAAAACATCAGAGAAAATAAGCCTGTAATTAACTGAAAGTATATATTCATTTGTTACCCCACTAGGCCCAATGGCCTAGGCTCATTATACCATGCGTGGCTTTTGCCACGCGTTTTTTCTAGTAGTTACGTTATAACTATACTGTATTTATATTTAAAGTTTTTTATAAAAATAATTGTGACGTTTTTCTGAAGTAATTCCCTAGTTATGTGTGTGGCTGTAAGTCGTGCAGGTGGTCGCGCGTCAGAGCGCACAAAACCATCGAGTGATCGCGCTAACACTGTGGGGGAGAGGCACTCAGGCGCATACATGCTGCAGGTTTCCAGCGAGTTCGGGGAGGAAGAAAAATAAATATCACCAACAACGTTTTCCAAGATTTTGTTTAGATGCTGCTGCTGATGCGATGCGTCCGGTAGCGGATGATGGGTCACGCTGCCGCGCTCAGATCAAACCAGCAAATCAATCATTAGGGACACGTTTTGCTGCTGCGTTGCACAAGAGTCCGTCTATGGTTGGCTTAGCTCTCTTTACTCACAAACAAAAGAAGAAAAACCTGAAAAAGAACAGTGCCATGTGAGAGGTACTACTTACCAGTAGTATTCCTAAACACTCCATAATTCTTTTTATAATTTAAACACGTGGATAATATTCTTCTTTGCAAGTATTTTTACAACAATTTCGTTAGATATTATTACGGTATCGAAGCTACGCAACAAAACCTAGTCATATATCTTAAAAACACGGTATAAACACAGGATCCAATCGGTTACCCATGATTTATTATAAGTAGTAGCAGCTTATTGATAATTAGAAAAATAATTTATAGATAAAACTTTCAATACATTTGTTCTTTGCAATTTAAAAGCCAATACTGAAAGAAACTACATTAGAAAAACTTCTTTCATTAAAAAAACATCAAAATCAATTTTAGAATCAAGTTTTAAAATTCAAATTTTAACAACGGCTTATAATTCATTGGGTGAACAATGAGACCCACATTCATATAAGTGTGTGTTCACATTCACCTATATAGACTTATATGGAGATTCTACGTACTACTCCGTCAAAAAGAATAAAACAATCCTAAATACAAATTTAGACACTCATATGTTCAGGTTTTAATTAGGATTAAGTTTTTTTATGCGATGAAAGGTATGTTTAAAAAACCAATTCTAGGTCCTCATCCGTTGCTTATATTCCCTAATAAGTACAAAACGGTTTATTAGAAAAAAATAATTTACAGGTAAAACTTTTTTATATGTGTGTTCTTAATAGTCTAAAAGCCAATGCTGAAAAAGAAACTACGTTGAAAATACCTTCAAATCGACTTCAAAATTATGTTTGAAAGTTCATATTTTAGCTTTGACAACCGATGGAGCTTCTATTTTATAAACAAAAGTAGTTCTTCTTTCGAACATTACAAAAATCATGAGATAATCACAAGAATTAGTTCAATCTCCGCAAAATCTTTTAAAATTCTTTCATTTCAAAATAAGGCCCAAGTTTCTAGGCCAGAGGTGATTCCATGTTTGTACAAGACCGGTTTCTAATGTGCTATGAGCTTTTGCTCATCTGAAAACTGCAGAGTTGGGTACCTCCACGGCTGAACCAACATCCAATTTGGATTCAGGACATTTTTGAGCTGATGATGACAAATTCTCTCAAATTTGTTCACTCCCTTAACTTACAGTAAGTAAACAGCTCAGGCCCTGCATTTCCTTTCAACTCATGGAAATCCAGGGGACGGCTAATTAACATATCATAAAAAAGCTAATGATATTACCAAGAAATTCAGATGTGAAAAAAAAAGTGAAAGAGAAGATCAAAAGAGAGAGAGAGAGAGAGAGAGAGCGATCTGATGACAACTAAGGTGCACCTGCCTGCGAGAGCACGATCACAAGAACACCGACCGCGAGGGGTTGACGACGATGTGCCTGAGCGGGTTGGTGACGTCGCCGCCGCCGGCGTGCTTCACGAACTCCGCCGGCGTCAGGAAGTTGCCGTGGCAGACGCACACGATCCTCACCTCCTCGCGTTTCCTGTACTTGTACAGGAACCCGTCGATCTTCCGGCCATTGGGGCCATCCACCCTGGACGACACCATCGGCATGTCCTCCATCATGCTCTTCCTCAGGTCGCCGGTGCTCGTCGTCCGCATCGTCAGCGACCGGAGCGTCCGCAGCGGCGGCTGCTCCTTCATGCTGCCGTTCGCCGGCGGCCTCCCTCCTCCGCCGCCGCCCGACGACGCCGTCGGGGGAAGGGGTTTGTTTTGACAACTAGCATTGTCTGAAGATGATGTGTCCATGGCTTCAGCACCAACACCAACACCTGCGCGCCAAAAGGAAAGCGGCAAATCGTCACATTTTTGCAGATTCAAATGGAGATAATCTACACTTGCGTCAAATGCTAATGGAAATGAATTTCAGTTCTTTTCAGGCAAATTTTCATGGCTCGAGCTCGCGCAATGTCAAAGGCATTGAATCGTAATTCATAACACCAGCTTGGACAATGATTAGTCTAGATAATTAATCATTCTTTTATGCTACCTAATGGCCATGCTTATAAGTAAGGGCCATCCCAAAAAGGAATCTCTGTGGACTGTAGCATCTACTAACAACACCACAGCCCAACGAATTCCATGAACGATATCAATCATAAGATACATTCTAGCAAAAAAAAAAATATGTGTAAAAGCACCAAACTTTTTTCTCCATAAAGAACTCTCTATTTTTGAGTTTCTAATTGCAAAAGCACTCATCAGCTAATCTCTCAACATGCTTCCCATTTCACTGTAAAAGGGCCTTCAACATAACAAGAATACTGATCAGTAGTGGAAAACGGCAAAACTGCAAAAGCACCTGACAGGTTCGTGTCTGCTCAAATTTCATCGTATATAACTGCAACCCAAAACACAATCTTTCCTTACCTAAAAATTTAGGAGATCGATCCCTGCCCATGCAAATCCTACCAAACATAGCAATCAATCCCGTTTGACCTTTGAAAATTTCCTTGTGAAATTCCTAATGAAACTAAACTGTTTCATGTGAAATTTCTGGCCTAAACTGTCTTTACCAAATTTAGGTTCCAAGGGGGCCCAAAGCCCCAAACTTTGTGCTTAGCACAAGCACAAACAACACATCATGCACACCAACCTGAAATCCTGAATGAACCATCAATAGCTATCGACCAGCAAAGCTAATGGAATAGTTCAGCTACAATCTTTCGCTCAAAAATAAAAAAAAAATCCAGCTAGAGCAGTGGAGATTAAAGTCTAATTAATTCAGTAGCAAATGGAGTTTTCTAGCAAAAAAAAAAATGGAACCATGAAAAGTAACAGTATCACATGTACCTTGCTCTGGCATGCACGACGAGGTGCTCCCCTGCGACACGACGGATCGCCGGAGCTGGAACCCGGTGGGGTACATCGCGTCCTGGCCGTCGTCCCGGCCGCCGCCGCCGGCGCCGGCGGACCTGCCGGAGTTCATGGAGTTGCGGCGCTCGAGGCGCTTGCGCTTGGCCTCGAGCCGCTTCAGGCTCTGCATCTCGCGGCGGCGCCACCGCTCCTCCTCGGTCTCCGTGGGGAGCGAGCTGGTCCGCATCAGCGGCGCCGGAGCCGGCGCCGCGGTGGCCACGTCGTCGCCGCCCGCGCCGCCGCCGCCGCCGCCGGGCAGCGAGCAGATTGACGCGATGGACGACGACCTCACCAGCCTCGGCTTCTTGAACTCCCTCGCCAGGTCGGCGCCGAAGCAACCGCCCAGCGACAGCCCCAAGCTGAGCTCGATCTCGTCGGACTCGCCGCCGCCCTTCTCCCCCGCCACCGCCGCGCCGCCCACCTCCCCGCCGAACCCGCCCAAGAAATCCCTCGACGCCGCCATGGCACCAAAAAAACAACCAAGAATTCAGCTATCAAACCAGCAACAAGCAGATGATAATCCTTCGCCGTCTCCCAATCTCTCCAACACACCACCAAAATCCCTCAACACCACCTCGCCCATGCCTCGAATTCTCCCAAGAACACGCAACCAACGAGCTCCAAATGCAGAGCACTAGTAGACATTACTCCAGCACGAAGCGCAACCCAAGAAACGAGCAAGAAACCTCCTCCTCCGCCGCCCTCGCCGCCTCTGAATCTCCCACGGAAATCGATGGCGAACACGACGAGGACGCAAGAAAACGACCGAACGAGCAGAATTCGATGGAGCAACCAGATCTCTCTACGCGGAGAGGAAGAGGAAGCAGAGAGAATGGAGGTGAGGAGAGGGAGGCCTTCGTGTCCAGTCTAATCTCTTTGCTCCGCCATTAACCCGAGAAAAAAAAATCGTGAGAAAAAAAAAATAATGGGAGAAAAAAAAATGGGAATACGGGGGAACTGTAGGAGTAAGGGCGCATGGCGGGTTGCCACGTGTCGTGGGTAGGGGACACGTGTTGGATCGCGACGAGCCGAGCCGAGCCGGGGTTGGGAGGGTCGGCTCGGCTTGGGTGTTGTGGGGACCGGTACAAAGAAAAAAGCGTGACGTGTCGAAGGACCGTAGGGGGCCCTTTGGCCTGACACGTTCTGGATTATTCCGTGCAACCGGTTCCCTTGGGTGGTGGCTTCATTGCTCATACTAAATATATTTTATGTTCTAGCAATTTTTTTTATGCTACAATGATTCATGGTTACGAATAAATATATTTATATGTGATAAGTATTTGTATATAATATATTAGTCGCATTGGTTAATTTAATACTTTACGATTATATCCATCAATATTCTATTAGTTGATTATATACATAAAATTCTGCCGTGTTGCGCACGTCATTACAATAAAAATGAAGTAAAACAGTGTTGTTTCATTGCATAGCTGAATCAACCCATTCAACTTTCTTCGATTGTGAAATTAACTTGTTAATTATACCAGTTATGTCTTTATAAAATATACATGGAACAATAGAAATATTGGCATAGAGTTTTTTCGCGTTGCGCACGTCATAACAGAACCAAATTATATCTTTCACACATTCGAAGCATACTACCATAATTTCAGCGTTCCTTTTTGAAAAACAAAATCACAATAACCTCTAAAATAGAAACGATAGGACATCAGTCTTATTGATGTATGATACTGTAGTATATTCCATACCATACCATGGTTTAGCGTCGTTTGAACTTTCAACGATTGCAAAACTTATCCAATTCCCCAGCGGTCGACCTATGTCTGTCGTGTGTTTGTTCTTTTTTGTTTTTCCATATAAGACTATTTTCATGTTTGTTTAGCTCTGTTTTAAAGTCAGGTAATAAAAATTGAAATAAATTTCCACGTTCATTCTACATTTCTACCAAGCCAAGCCAGACCAAGAAACCTCACACACCAGCTCAGCGTCGGCTCGGCTCGCCCACAGCCAAAACAAAAAAACAAAAAAAAAACAGCAAACTAATCACCTCTTGGCGACCCCGTAGGGGCAGGCAGGCAGGACCTAGCCTAGCCAGCTATACCAGCAACTGGCACCCAACAAACAGCTGCAACTTGCCCTCACCTGTGGGCCCCACCTCCCCCTCTCGACTGGGGCCCTACGCCGCAGCGACACGTCGCCTCCCCTCCGGAGAAGCATCTCATCTCACAAAAGCGCGCAGCCAAAGCGGGAGGGGGGCTACGTGTGCCGCGCAGGTCGCCGCATCGCCCGCCACGTGTCCCGCCTCTCTCTCTCTCTCCCCCCACGTGGGCCCCGCGACAGCTCACGTCCTCCTCCCCCCCACAGCTTTGACCACGCGGGGTCGCCTTCGCCGCTCGATGACGTGTGGGACCGGGCGTAGGGGTGGTCCCACGCGTCGGTGGGTGGGTGGGTGACGTGCGGGGCTCGCGCGCGTGGGGGCGGGTGGTTTCTGGTGGTGACGTCATCGGCGACCCGGGGGTGGGGTGAGGGAGGCGACGGCGACGTACTATAGGGGGGGGGGGGGGTGCGTGGAGATCCACGTGTCGGGCGGCGGCGGGGGTGGCGAGGGAGAGAGCGGACGGCCCGGATGGAGCCACGTTGTCCGGCCGCGGGGTGGGGGCCACGTACAAGTGGAGGGTGGATAGCGTTGGGCTGTGGTCCCACCGCGGTGGGGATGCGTGGATCGTCTGTGGGGCTGTGGAGCGTGGGTTGTATGGGTTGTCTGATGTACTATTTAGTTCACGAAAAGAAAATTTTTAGATATTACATTGAATGTTTAATCAGATGTCGGAAGGGTTTTTCGAACACGGATAAAAAAACTAATTTCATAACTCACCTAGAAACCGCGAGACGAATCTTTGAGCCTAATTAACCCGTCATTAGCACATGTGGGTTACTGTAGCACTTATAGCTAATCATGGACTAATTAGACTCAAAAGATTCGTCTCGCGATTTTCCTCCCCCTAACTGTACAATTAGTTTTTTCATTTATCTATATTTAATGTTTTATGCATGTGTATAAAGATTCGATGTGATGTTTTTAGGAATAAATTTTGGGGAACTAAACAGGGCCTGAGTGAAGGGGTTTTGCCTGCAGATAATCACTCCATTCGTACGAGACGAGCACGTATTTTAAGATTCAATAGCTTTAAATGTTTGATCAATAATTATTTTGTTATAAATTAATTTTTTTATGAAATTAATATCATTATATGTTAGCTTTTGAGTTTACTTTCGTATGATTATGATTTCATTGCTACAGGCATTATATTATGATAAATTTAAAATGAAGTATTAGTTTCGAAGACCACGCTTTAGTTAGTGGGACGGATGGAGTAATTGCCTGATGCCCTGATGGAATATGTGAAGTGTGTTCAATGTAAATACCGTTTAGTGGAGCTTCTACTTTGAGATTTTTGTCACACTGAGATATAGCTATATCCGATATTTTTGAGATCCTAGATAACATATAATTAAACTACATGTTCTATCATGCATGAACATTAATTACTACTCCCTCCGGTACCATAATTCTTGACGTTTTGGACAAGATTGAGGTCAAACTTGTGTAACTTTGGCTATCAATAACTCCATAGATTGATGATTTGTATTTCAAAGTTCTATAATAAAAGTAAACATGCATTTATTTATTGTATATATTATAATAAAAAAACAAGGTAAAAGATGTATTTTTAAGACCGTTTCATTGTCCAAAATGTCAAGAAATTATGAAACCGCAGGGAGTATCTCTATCCCATAAAAACCCAACTCCCATATTCCTAGGCACAAATAATAGAGAGAAAAATATCTAAAGTGCCCCTCATTAATACAAATTGGTTGGTGGGTAGCTAGGTGAGAGGTAGTGAGCAATAAAAATTATTGATTTATGCATTAAAGGTGGATTAGAAGATAAGAATTGATTAACTCTAGGATGTGGTTTATTTTGGGACAGAGTGAATACATGGTAAAGATGGAGCTATATTCTCGCCGCTCCTAAGCTCCACCTTCGAAATCAGATATGCACCAAACATCCAAGTAAATTGAAGTTATAGCTCCTAGCATAGGAGTAGATATATGATTTTTTTTTGTGGTAATATGCCCATGATCACTAAAAATGAAATACAACTAGTATTTATGAAACATTTTCTTATCTTTATATTTATGGTTTGTAATCAGACAAACAATTAAAATGTCAGACAAGAAGAAAATAATGTCTCTGTCAATGAAGTAAAATTTGATAGCCTGTTTGCTGAATTACAAAGTTCATGTTCAATTTTATATATTTATGTTGGTTGACTCTATCTTAAATATGAGTATCATTTGCTTTGGTGGCATAAAAATTCTTTCAAGAATAGCCGACATGCCTAAGTATAATAACTTATTGACAGCTTTTCAAAAAATGTTTAACACATGAAATAATCATTGGTCCATGTCAAGTTTTCGAGCCATAGAAAACATTATTGAACCGAGCAACTGCACTAAGGATTCTATACTCTCCTTTCCTGACTGAATTGCTAAACATTGTAATTTTTAAAAAAAGTATAGAAAAGTTACATTGAAAATTTATATTAATTCATATTTTAAAATCTTTTAGCTTATACTTAATTAATTATAGTTAATCTACCGTTCCGTTTTGCATTTCGGGAGGGAAGGGTAATGAACCCGTTGGTTCAAAAACACCATAAATCATGCCTAACAAAACAAGCAGATTGTATAACTGTTGATGAACAGGGGTGATGTGGTGGTGGATATATGGAGTCATGGATGCAGGACTTCACTCATTAGGATTTAAATTCTCGTGTCTACGAATATTATGTACATATAGTTGGGTTTTCAATAGGATTTTAGTGAGATTAGAAACACGCCATTCTCAGAGCATATGTTATAGGAGATGCATTCGTGAGGGTGTTAGTAAGATGTTGCGTTTATGTCTAACGATGTAATTGCAAAAGTAAAAAAAAAGATTGAGCATCTATGACCTATACACACTTACCGACAATTATAACACAAATATTTTATGGATGGATGAATCATCGATGGATGTCAAATTATTAAGTTACGGATAAAAAAATATTAAACAAGCAAATCCACTGACAAAATAAACATAGAAACTGCAGGAGTAATGCCTAACAAAAAACAAACAACTCTATGTCCAGATTCGTTGTATTAGGAGGGGTCACATCCCCTCCCAGGTTAGCTTTTTTTTTTTTAAGACGGAAGGAGTAGATGATATAGACTTTGGATTGAGCATCTAGTAGATGTTAATCGTGACATTTACCAACACAAGCGACATATATATTGCTCCATCCGTTTCAGGTTATAAGATGTTTTCACTTTGGTCAAAATCAAACTGCTTCAATTTGACCAATTTTATAGAAAAAAAGTAATATTTTCGACCCAAGATAAATTTATTATAAAAATATATTTAATTATTAATTTAATAAAACTAATTTAGTAATGTAAATAAATTTATATCTCTTTATAAATTTAGTTAAACTTGAAGCAGTTTTAATTTGACCAAAGTCAAAAATCTTATAACCTGAAACGGAGAGAGCATTCGCTAAATGGAGTACTACATACCCCCTCCGTTCCATAAATCTAGTACCGGATGTGATATATCGTAATACTATAAATTTGGATATACATATGTATAAATTTATAGTATTAGAATATGTCACATTTTGTTTTTAGATGTGTTTTTTATGGGATAGATGAAGTACCATGGTAATGACGGCCATACCATTACACCTATAACCGGAGTAGTACATCGCCATATCTATCTGTTGAACTTTTTTTTCCTGATCTGTCACTATGAGTCATTGGAGGAGTATGCATAAAGCTACGCGGCCAACAATTAATTAAGGTACAGCAATCACTGTTCACAATAGCCAACTAAACAGTAATACGGGCCAATAATTTCTAAAATGAAAAAAAAAAACAAATACTACGCTCGCTTTCCCTAAATAAGTGTATCTTTAACTAATCAATGACATATTAAACAAGAGATTAAAAAACTTTGTACACTTCATTAATAGAAAGAGAACACAAGATTAAACAAGCGATAGTGGATCTAAAATATTTAGGGACTTGAGTACATTACATATATCAAGATGATTTAAGAAAGAACAGTGATTAATGTAGCCGACAAGGAACCAATACATGTGTCGCTCATAGTGCTGTGCACAAGAGATCCAGCAAATCCGCGAGGCTGGGGAACTTCTTGGGGATATCGATTTTGTACGATGTTCGCCACATATTTTAAAAAAAAATAATCAGGGGTCGGCGATTTGACGCTGTCAGATTCAAACCCCAATTATTACCACTGCTCCTTCCTCATCTAATCTGCTTTTCTTTCCATTTTTTTAAAATCTCAAATCTCTCTGCCTTCGTCTCCTTCTTTCTCATCTCCTCCGTCCGTTTCACCCGTGGCCTCCTCCGGTTGGACGGCGCCCAAGTTGCAAACAACATTTTTTTTTCCCATTTTGTCTATTGGTGATTAGACTAACGGCAAGTGTCAGTCGTATTAGAGGAAGTATAGTAGTAAGTCCTAGTCAGCAGACGGAACGTTTCCCACATCATCAAGATTCTAGAGAAGAGGGAGAACGGAGCGGGCGGTCCTCTATCGCTCGGCTAAAGCACAACGTACGAGAGAAAATAGCCCGCTTCCAGGCGCTAAGCCGCCGCTTCGTTCCTCCCCCAGATCCCGTGCATCTATGCCGCCGCCCCCAACCTCTCTTCCTCCGCGCGCCAAATCCCCCTCTCTCCTGCTAAAATCGAGTCCTCCCGCTCCAATCCGTCATATAACCCTCCCAAATCCACTCCCATGCCACCAAATTCGTCCCCAAATCGCCTCCTCTCAAACCCTAGACCCCAAATTCGTCCTCAAATCACATCAAGATGAGGTGGCAGTCCAAAAGGACGTTTGCACCGGCATCACTGGAGGTCCCGCCGCCGGCACTAACACAACAGTCCATGGTGACCTCCTCCTCACCATGCTTCTCGACGGGTTACAACAACCAGGCATGGTGAGTATCCCATCTACAAGCACGGTATGATCTAGCCCTTACTGTCTCTATGTTGGTTAATCTTGCTCGAAGTGTATGGATGATTTTGCTGTGATGTGTCCTATTGATCTGTTCAAGGCTTCACTTCCATGCCTGTCAAACTCAATTCACTGAATAGTTCATGTTGTGTGATTTATTTAGGGGTATATGGATCAGATTAGCTCCCAAATCAGTAAATCACACTAAATTTATCAACCATGACAATTATTAAGTTGCTTTGTACAGAGATGCTAGGTTTGCCTGAGGTGCTATATTAAGTTTTTGATGGGCTGCTACCACGATATATATGTTTAGAGATATATAGCAGTTCCTGAATATGACACTTGTAGATGTATGTATGTTTGAGATACATGATTGAATTTTCACTGTATACTCCATGATTATCTTAGTATGTTGAGATACATGACTGAATTTTCACTATATACTCCATGATTATCTTAGCAAGCCACCACTGACTTGTTGGCCTGAGGTGCTATGTTAATTTTTCACTAGCTTTGCTACCTCATTGTATATATGTTTGAGATAAAACACTTCATGAATATGGCACTTGTAGATGTATATATGGCAGTTCCTAAATATGGCACTAGTAGATGTATGCAAATTCTGATTTTTTGTATATATATATATTGAGCAGGGGAGTGGATTCTCACCCACTCGGTGGGTTTCTTAATTTATTGAAGAAAAACACACCAAGTGGTGCACAAGTTGTGATCAATGGTAGTTCATCGCAGTCAATCAATGTTGGCGATGACACCAATGTGGCGATTGCCGAAGACTTATTTGCCAGTATTTTGATTAATGCTTTTTAGAAAGACTCATGTAATGTTTAAGTGGTTGTATCATGATGCTATATGTTATGTGCCATTGGATTATGCTGGCAATGTTGCTTGAAAACAGTATCATCTGGATATTAAAATGACCAATGTTGCTTGAAGTTGATTTGTGATATGCATGGAACTCATAATTAATCAATTATATGTTTTCTAAGTGTGACTGATATCACTATGAATGTTGTTTCACAGATCTTGATATGTTTTCCTGTTGTAATTGTATGGCTGAGCATATAGTATCTTGTTTGATGAAATAGCCACAAAGTTATAGCCACACCACATCATGTGTACATGCAGGCATTAAATACCTAATTGTTGATTGTAGCAGACTTATAGCCAAGCATACAACCAATCTATTATATAAGTGAACTCTAAGTGAAGGCTTTAGATGACATGGTATTAGTGTACCGCCCACTGCTGGCTCTCTTATTAACCATGCTCTTATCATTAGCGCTAATCTACTTTACTTAGGTCATGGTTAGCTAGTGCAAAGTTTCTTTTCCATTAGTGTACATATGTCTTAACTTGTAAGATGAGTTTCGGAAGCAATTTTAGCGCACGGTGTTTAATTTGGGTTGAACACAAAGGGGGTTTTTTGTAGAGCTGCCTGTTGTATAGCCACAACAGCTAAAACAAGTGTGCAGCAAATTTGTACCAGCTTTATTTTTTAATAGATAACGTTGTTGACTTTTTATCACATGTGTTGACCATTTATTTTATTAAAAAGATTATGTTATTTAGTTGTGAGTTGTTTTATCAAAGTATGATCACATATGTATTTAAAAGGCAACGGCGTCATTTATTAAAAAGAAGGGAGTATTGTTTGTAGTATACGGTAGCCAGGCACAATCGGCTATAATATAGCTCAAGCGAACAAGCCCAAAAATAGCATATTTTGATCCTCTAAATTAATGGGTCTTCAATTAGAGTTAAAAAAATGAGGGTGTGGTAATGATTGATAAGCAACCAATTGAAGTGATCAAATGGAAAAATTAAATCGAGGAATTGCGAACTAAGCGTAGTTTTGTTGAATAGGTTCCTTTCGGTGAAAAAAATATCCAATTGGATTCATTTACCGCTGATTATTTTTTCAGTGGTAGGCAGCATACGTACCAGTCGATAATGAGGTGTTCCAAGCAAATATAGGGTGTGAGTGTGTATGTATAAGTAGGGGTGAAAACGGTAACGATAATTCCCGGCCGACCGGCGTTCATTTTCGACTTTCTACCGGCCGAGCCATATGGAAATGGTATAAAAATATGGAAATGAAAACGGAAATGGTTTTGCTGTTATACCGATCGTTTCCGTATTTACCATATTCTTGTGGAAATTACCGTTTCTTATAATATGGTAATTTCCGTATTCTAAATATGTCGATATTTTACAGGGCATGTCTCTACTTGACCCATAGCTTATAGATTGATTGACTCTTCAATTAAATCTGTAACTTTTGTGCATGACTAAAATAGAGTTAATTTATAATTTATATAGTATAAGCTTGAATTTATATATACATATAACATACTTATGTAAAGTTAAATATATGCTTTTATAGTTTAATGTTTCCGTATTTGCTACTGGTTTCCGATCTGTACCGACATGTTTTCGTCCGTATTGTTCTATTTCCGGTTTTCCGATATTTCCGATATCGTTTTCATTTCCGACTTTACCGTTTTCGATTTCGTTTCCAAGAAAAATATGGTTACGGAAATGGTTGAGGCTGTTTTCCGATCGTTTTCGACCGTTTTCATCCCTATGTATAAGAGTGGTATGTATGCATATATATGAGTGCATGTTTTAGGGAAAAAAAACTCCAAGAAATTCAATCAAGTTTGAGCTAATTAAAAAAACACTAAGAATATATACTAAGTGGTAGCGTCCTTGTTAGTTTAAAATTTATCAAACACGCAAACCAGTAGTATATAATCGCCCTTCAGTGTACGTATTACTATGAGAGAACACATGATGACAGCAACGAGGTTTTATCTGATTTAGAACACAACCACAACCACACACACAGCAACAACAATGATGCATCATGATCTGATCTGTGATCACCCATTAGTTTTATCATGCCATGGCAATCACAATGATGCATATAAACACCAGCATCTCGGCTACTACTTTTTACTATCAGAAAAGACTTGGATCCGACACGCCATTGGCCACAAATGTTGGACAACTTGCTCTTTCTTTCCCCCATTTCTTTTCCTATAATAAAATGGCAAGTTGCTGCTACAATACATGGATGCATGATCGTTGTTGCATCTAGCTCGTTGGAGATAATTGTTGTTTAATCCCCAACTTGCAGGACGGATGCAGCTGCAGCCCATAGGACTTGACTGAATTGGCATGATCCATCTACACTTTTTTCTTTTTTTCTTTTTAGAAAAAAAGCATCCACTGCAGTGCAGTACAGTGCAGTACGTAACGTTGGCCTATCTGTGGGCTCTGATTTGCAGGTGCAAAAGTGGTTGATACTTGATCCAATTCAGACATGTACGCAATGCATGCATCATGCACCCGCAGGAACAAAAGGTCTCTATCTACTTGTCATGGGGTTTAAGGCAAATGGCTCGTGTCTCTGGCTCTTAGAATAATACATGGTTTACAATTAGAAAAAAAATTCCTAATTACCCCTTAAATTATCGAGGTTGAACGGATTAAAAAGAGTAAATTTCATAAAACTACAGGTATTTTGACCAAATTATCACAAAACTACAGATTTAAGGAGTTGTATCATAAAACTATACATTTAGCACCAAATTTATCACAAAACTGCATATTTTATGTTAAGTATCACAAAAATACATATTTAATATTGAACTTATCACAAAACTACAACTTCTGGAGTTTAAATCCCTAGCACCATTGTTATGGTGGAGCTATAAACATTATTACTTTGTGATTAAATTGGTTCTAAACCCGTAGTTTTATGATAATTTAGTTACTAAACGTGTGGTTTTGTAACACTTCATCTTAAATATATAGTTTTGTAATAAATTTGGTGCTAAATATGTAGTTTTATGATACAACTCTTTAAATCTGTAGTTTTGTGATAGTTTGGTCATAATATCTGTAGTTTTATGAAATTTACTCAATTAAAAATTAGTACTCCCTCCGTTTTATATTATAAGACTTTCTAGCATTACCTACATTCATATAGAAATTAATGAATTTAAACACATATATATTTTGGAAGTTTTTGGGCTAGGCTGCCTGACATGGTATTCTAAGTATACATACAAATACTATATACAATTTAAATATAATTCCTCGGTTCTTAAAATAAATCAACTTTTATATTCGTAAATCAACTTTTATATACGAATACAGACGTAATATAAGCTTAGATTGGTACACAAAAGTTGACCTATGAAAACAGAGGGAGTATGCATGCAACTACTGCCCAATGGACTTGGCTGGCTGGCCGGTGTACGCACGGGCAGAGCCAAGTGTGGGGCGGTTTTGGTTTGAGTCCCACAAGACCACAAGACCACAAGTGACAGAAAAAACACAAAGGAAATTTGCTAATTTTCTTTGTTTTTTGAAAAATTATTTAAGAAGTTCATTCATTCAGCCCTGCGTGTACTGTACGTGCGTAATACTAACTCCGTTCTAAAATATAGTATTTTTTAGCTAAAAATGTTTATATTTTAATACATGTTTAGCTGTTGTAATGCATGGACGTGTGTCGCTATAACAGAAGCTCACATTTGCACGTTGTTTGCGTGCGTGTGCACTAGATAGTGCTAGCTGGAGTAGCTACGTACTCGCACACGTACACGTACTGTACAGAAACGTGTAGACATAGCCTAGGCTTTGGCATGTGAAACGAACTCACTCATGCATGCGTCGCACGAGGCAATCTTGCGCCGATCTGTTGGGCCTGATGGATTGATACGATGAACTACACTCTTCTTCGTTTTATATTATAATAATAATATGTCACTTTGATATTTTTAATTTTTAAGTTTAAATAAATTATAAAAATAAAGCAATAATTTTAACATAAGATATTTTTTTTTAACATAAGATAAAAATAATGTTAAAAAATATGCCACGCTTGTCCGTTTGTCAGTCTCAGTCCATATCACATTATCCGTGATTGATTTTTTTTAGCGGGCCGTGATTGATTTTTAGTAAATTTCACAAAACTACATGTATTTTGCACAATTTATCACAAAACTACATATTTAGTGTCTACTTTTATCACAAAACTACAGGTACTTTGTATAATCTATTACAAAACTACATATTTAAGAACTTGTTTCATAAAACTATAAATTTAATGTATTCGTTTATCCCATAACTACACATTTGGTGTCTTCTTTTATCCCAAAACTACATGTTTAGTGTCTTCATTATCACAAAACTACATGTTTTAAAACTACTAAACTTGTAGTTTTGTGATAAATGAAGATATTAAATCTGTAGTTTTGTGAAACAAGTTCTTAAATCTGTAGTTTTGTGATGTATTGTGCAAAGTAATTGTAGTTTTGTGATAAACGTAGACACTAAATCTGTAGTTTTTGTGAAATAAGTTCTTAAATCTGTAGTTTTGTGATAGAATGTGCAAAATATATGCAGTTTTATGAAATTTTCTCTTGATTTTTTAAAAGAACAATTCTCCCTTTCTAGGACTCCGGTTATTTTCAAGCTGATTTATACGGAGCCATCGTTTCACGGAATAAGCGAAATGGTATATTTGTAAACGAAAAATAATTTATGAATAAAACTTTTATATACGTGTTCTTATCGATCTAAAAGTAAAAGCTGAAAAATAAACTTCGATAAAAAAAAACCTTAAAATCAACTCTAAATTTAAGGTTGAATTTCAAATTTTAGCTGATAAGCGTAAGCATAAGCGAAAAGATGAGGCCTGTAGGTTATTAAATACTCATTCCATCTCAGAATATAAAAAGTTTTAGAATTGGACATGGTTATTAAGAAAGTAAGTAGAAGTGAGTGGTGGAGGTTTGTGATTGAATGAGTAGTGGAGGCAGGTAGGAAAAATGAATGGAGTGTTGTGATTGGTTGGGAAGAAAATATTGTTGGAGAAGTTGTTACATTTTAAGATAAATTCTAAGAGTTAAAAGTTGTTATATTTTAGAACGGAGAGAGCAGATTATTCGCTCTACTCTTCGGAAAATATGC